AATTTTTTTAAGTTACAATTTATATTTCCGGCAACCACAACAGCGAGTCAGTCAACCACCATCGGAATAATGACGACCCACCACCTTCCCTGTCGTGCGGGAAGGTGATTTTTTAAACCCTGGCGACCAGCACAACCGACAACCCACTACTGCAATCGGTTTCAAGTGCTGGTTGACCACGGTAATCGGCATCCAAAACCGGTTACCGTACCGGGTTACCGGTTTTTCATGCCGATTAACCAGGTTGACCGGCATCCAAAACCAATCACCGTGGTGTTTAATTGGTTTTGATTAAAAAAATCAGAGGTACTGCCCTTTCACCTCCGATCGCTGCCCCTACGCTAGCTCCACCTCCGATGTACTTCCGTTGGACCACTACTTCTCTTCATCTGATGTTGTTGCGGTTGATGGTGGTTGGGTAGTGGTGGTTATGGTGGTTACGGGTGATGAGTGAGAAAAAAAAAAGAAAAAAGGAAGATGTGTGGGGGTATAGTAAGGGTATTGGTGTCTATTCATCTTAAATGTCGGCGATTTTGATAAAATTTGTTGGCGGTATTTAACACCCCCTTTGCGTTTTGTTTGTGGTCTTTGTTGTGTTTTCATCTTTTGTTAAGTCATTGGCTATTGTTCATCAAAAAACAAACACAATATAACCAGTTTCATAACATCTTTCTTATGAAAACGCATGCCTTGAACTTCAAAAAAGTTTAAACGTTACCATAACATACATGACCACGAGTCATGACCATTGGTTTCTGTTTTCTCATATAGAGGGAGCCCCATTCATCTTGATGATAAACATAATTTGTTTATCTAATGGCATTTAATTTTTGTAAATATATCAACAATTCATCCCAGTTAGCATGACATTTTTGTAAATAAGTGAACAACTTTTATTAATATGCGGGTCCTACAAATGTTGACTTATTTAAGAAAATGCCATGCTTACTGAAATTTTTTGTTAATTTATCTACGAAAATGCCATTAGATAAACAAATTTTGTTTCTCATCAAGATAAACTTCTATTTTCTCTTCATATATTTTGGGAAAATCATAGGATATATTTTGTATCGTATCTTATGCCTAGAATATCTTTTGGATATATTTTTGGTAGTTTCCTAATTCTATCAAATTAGGGTAAATTGTACTACCTCCATTTTTTATTAGTTGACACGTTTTGACTTGAGCACTATTCACTCACTTCCATTTAATTTGGCCGTGTTTTGCTATTTATACGTAATGAAATATATAATCATGTGGGATCTTGTTAGATTTGTCACGGTATATATTTTCAAAATATTAACTTTTTAGAATTATTATATATCGAGAATTAGAGATATTAACGGTTGAATTTGTGCATTGCAAACGTGACTAAAGAAACGCGTCAACTAAAAAGAAACGGAGGAAGAATTATATATGTGGGATGAAAGTCATCAATAAAATCAAGTCAATGTGTTCTATTCAATACTTAGCATGGTATCAAGAGCATGTTTATTTTTTTTTATCACAAACATGGCCGGAGACGATCAGTTTCCGCCACCGCCACCCCCTCCAATAGAACTCAAACCAAACTCCCCTTTATACCTTGGGTCTCAAGATCGACTCAGGGATTTTATTACTCCCACTCGTCTTAAATATGATAACTATGATGATTGGGCTGCTGATATGCAAACAGCTTTGGAGGCGAGGCAAAAATTTGTGTTTTTGGATGGAACAATCACGGCATCTATTCCACCGTGCAACAAGCCCGATTGGACGACCATCAATGCAATCTTGATTTCTTGGATATCTAATACTATTGATCCAGAGGTACGTTCTTCGCTTTCTAAATTTCGTGAAGCTCGATTGTTGTGGGAACATCTTAGGAAGCGTTATGCTCAAACTAATGACCCTAGGATTCAATAAATAAAACCATCCCTTTCTAGGTGTGAGCAAACTCGTTCAATGCCTGTTTCAGTTTATTATGGAAAATTACATGCTTTGTGGCAAGAATTAGACCACCATGAACCTTCAGTTTCGTGTAATTGTTGTTTGAATTGTACGGCTGAGTGTTACATGAAGCTAGGCATGAACAGAATAACTTGCATGATTTTTTTGATGGGATTGTATCAATATATTGTCTCAAGACCCACTCCCTACCCTGGATTGTGCCTACCAATTGGTGGTGCATGAAGAACAGGTTCATACAACAAGGCAGGACCACGAACAACAGCCTGCAGAGGCTTTTGGTTTCGCGGTTTATGCAGCAGCAGGTCGGTCTAATGAAGGGTCTGACCGTAGTCATGAAGGCTATCGCTTCGTGTGTGCTAAGTGCAAGAAAGTGGGGCATGAAACCTCAAACCATTGGTCGGATAAAATTTGTAACTACTGCAAAAAAAAAAAAAGGCCACGTGGAGGCCAACTGTTTTGAGCTACATGGCAGACCTCCCCTGAAAGATGCCAACTAGGGGGGAAAGCCTCGTCTAGCCGTGGACAGGGTACGGTGAGAGCAAATGTTGTTGTTTCTACCGGCAGCTCATCTTTTCCTAGTCAAGTATTCTCAAGCGAGCAATGGAAGGCTATTACGAGAGTGTTTGGTAATGCAAATGATCCCGAAACCCACTTAATGGTAAGTTTGATGTTACTTCTTGGATTATTGACACAAAAGAAACGCATCATGTTACCGGCGAACAATCTTGGTTGTTCGATACTCAGAGTTTTGAATTTCCTGTTGGTTTACCTAATGGTGATATTGTGGTGGCCTCTTTGGTTGGTTCTATTTGTTTGTCGAACAAGATAAATCTAACAGGTTCTTTTTGTTCCTCAATTGATTTGTAATTTGCTTTTTGTATCTCAACTTACCAATGATCTTAATTGCATTGTCCAATTTAATTCTTTTATGTGCTATACAGGCCCAAACGAAGGAGCTGATTGGAATAGGAGCTAGGAGGGAAGGATTATACTCTTTTAGCAAAACGGATTCGGTGAACCACGTTGGTGAAGCAATCTCAAATTTGGAGTTGTGGCATTGTTGAATGTGTCATCCTTCCGAGAAAGTAGTTAAGTTGCTTCCTCTTGTTAGTAGTAACTATAATTTTCTTGATACAGGGTGAGAAGTATGTATGTGTGCTAAACATCATAGAGACAAGTTTCCTTCAAATGATAGTAGAGCTTCTAGGATTTTTGAGAAAATACATTGTGATTTATGGGGTCCATATCGGCATATTTTGTCATGTGGAGCTCGTTATTTTTTTTACTAGTGTGGATAATTATTATAGGGCAGTTTAGGTTTATTTATTGGTTGATAAATCTGAAGTTTTTAGAATATTTTTGGCGTTTATTTCAATGGTTGATAGACAATTTTCTCAAACCATTAAAATTACTGAATTTAATTGTTTGCATGATTATTGTGTTGCTACGAGCACTATTTTCTAAATTTCATGTGTTGATACTCCACAACAAAATGGGAGAGTTGAGAGAAAACATAAACACATTCTTAATGTTGGAAGAGCTTTGAGATTTCAAGCCAAATTGCCTATTTATTTATAAAGATGCCCCACTTTCTCATGGTGAGAAACAAATTTTGTTTCTCATATGGCATTTTCGTAAATAAATCAACAAATTTATTCAATTGTGAAGCCCACAATAATGAAAAAATTTGTTTCTCACCGTGAGAAACAAGGAATTTCCCTTTATTTTTGAGGAGAGTGTGTTCTTGCTGCTGCTCATTTAATAAACTGCACACCAACACCATTACATCAAAATAAAACCCCCTTCAAAATTCTTTTCAATAGAACTGCATCTTTTTATGCAACTCGCACTTTTGGTTTTCAAATTTATTATAAGACAGAATCACAACCAGTGGCGGATCTAGCGAGGGTTCAGGGGGTTCAACTGAACCCCGTTAGATCTGGGAAAAAAAATTAAAAGTTATTTATAAAAAAAAAAAGAAAACCTATAAATAAAATATCTTAAACAATTGTTTACTATGTCAGGCACTAGCTCAGTTGGTTTAGTGACTCTCAAATTGTACCACAGATCGCGGGGTCGAAACCCAGGACGCGCAACTTTATTTTTTTCTTTTTTCTTTTCTCCCTTTTATTCCCTGTAACTTTCGTTCTTTGTTCTATTCAATTGTTCCCTTTCTTTTCTTAATTCTCATACACTGCTGCTTGCTAAACCCTAACTTTCTTCTCCATTTTTTCTTACTTCTCAAGCCGCCGCACCGAGACACGTCCACGCCTGTCGCCACTGCTCACCGATGAGGCCACGAGGGTCGAGGGCGACGCCGACGATCTACTCGAGGTAACATTCTCTCACTTAATCCCTGTTTTTTCTTTTCAATTTCTGTTTTTTCTTTTCAATTTCTGTTTTTGAGTTTTAATTTTGAGTTTTGAGTTTCTTAATTGTTAATATCATAATATGTTGATTCACTTAGATACTTGATTGTTAAATGAATTATGAATTAATTTGCAGTAGATGTAGTACTAATGAATTGTTTAGTCACATTTCTTGAAAGAGATCTTTTTGCTAACGTTAGTGACAATGATGTATTGGAACGTTTTCAAAGTATGAAAACTCGAAGAATGCTTTTGTAATTTGCATCTTTTTTTGACATTTAATTGAAGTTATGTATTGTTGTATCGGATCATTTTATTTTGCAATTTTATTGAAATTTGGACTTATTTTGTTGTTTACTTGTGTATTGATATTTATTTGAACATTCTATTTTATACTTGTATACCCGATTTATATCCGTGCATTTGGATATCGGGTGTTTGATAAAATTCGAACCCCCTAGGTCCAATTCCTGGATCCGCCACTGATCACAACATTACATTATATGATTATACGAACCAATATTTATCAGAGTACATGGTCTGATAATCATTACATTAAAGTTCTGGTCTAAAAACATAATAAGAAACAACCTTAATTCCCAACAACCACGTCCTTTTAATCTATAATATAACTAGGAGAATACACACATATAGTTTATTTCCTTTAAAGTCTTAACGTATTTAGTTACCCTTTTGCTCCTTGGTAGTCTTTGTCTCCTTACGGGGGTAGTGACCACCATAACCACCCTGGCCATATCCACCGTGACCATAACCACCATGACCTCCGTGTCCATAACCACCATGGCCATAACCTCCGTGTCCATAACCTCCGTGTCCATAACCACCATGACCATAACCACCACCACCGTGACCATAGCCGCCACCATATCCGCCATGACCATAGTGTTGAGGTTCTATAGCATCATTCTTTTGATCATTATCTTCCTCTTCCTTGGGTGGATTGTGGTCACCATGCCCACCGTGACCATATCCTCCGTGTCCTTAAGAGCCATGTCCATATGAACATTTTTTCTAGGACGACATCTTCCTGTAATATTGTAGCTGCTGGAATTGAAGAATGGATTACAGACTCTAGAGCCTCATATCATATAACTTCCTGCCTAAAATTTCTCACTAAACCTAAAGAGTTTCAAGAAAATCTCAGGATAAATCTACCTACTGGTGCTACAGCTAGAGTATATCACACAGGTATGGTAGAGTTGCCTAACTCACTTTACTTGAAAAGTGTTCTGGTGGTTCCCAACTTTGAGCAAAACTTGTTGTTAGTGCACAAACTGATGAAAGACTCACAGTGTGAGATTGTTTTAAGCAATTCTCATTGTGTGATAAAAGACACGGTGACAAAGAAAGTTAAAGGTGTAGGGAGAGCAAGAAATGGCTTGTACTATTTGGTGAACACATCATTTGATGCCTAGTCTGATCTGCAAAGTATTGATAGTAACACTCATCTTACTCAGCTTTCTCATACATGTCTGTCAACTCACTTTGACAAGATAGAAGTGCCATTTGGAGTGTGGCATCACAAATTGGGTCATGCATCATTGGGAAAACTTTAACATATTGCTTGTGCGAAGAAAAGTATCACTGAAAATAGTCAATTGTGTGCAACTTGTCCTATGGCCAAATTCACAAAGCTGCTATATGATTTGGGCACTTCTCATGCATCTCAACCATTTGAGTTGATTCATATGGACATATAGGGCCCTAAAAAAGTCTTTACAAGAGGAAAATTAAGATATTTCCCGACCACAGTTGATGATTTCTCAAGAACAACATGGGTGTATCTTTTTCAGCAAAAATCTAAATCTCTTGAGAAACTCAAGGAATTCTCAAACTATGCTCAAACACACTTAAACTACAAGATAAAGTTTCTCAGGTCAGATAATGCATTGGAATTTCATGACTAGTGCTGTCAAGATTTCTTTATCAATCTTGGAATTTTTAACTAGACATCCTGTGTTGACAGGCCACAACAGAATTCTAGAGTTGAAAGGAAGCATAGCCATATTCTTGAAATTGCTAGAGCATTGAGGTTTCAAGCTGGTATTTCTTTGAATCATTGGGGTGAGTGTGCTATGACTGCACTCCACTTGATCAATAGGCTTCCCACTCATTTTCTAAAAAATAAAACTCCATATGAAATTCTATTTAAATCCATACCAGATTATTGATGAGTGTAATTTATGGCACTCATTTAGATTCATTTGGGGTGATTCTTAGTTGTTTTTATAGCTCTTTTTATGTCTTTTTCTCTAGTTTTAGTCTTTATTTCTCTAGTTTGTTCATTCTTAGTTATTTTCCCATTTCTTGCATTTTCTTAGTTTATATAGTTTTTTCTCTTTTATCTGTTTGATTATCTTTGTTATTAGGAGATAGATGGTGCCCAAGGCTCTCAATGGATTTTCCTTGGGTTTTCAGAAGCTCAAGATGCAAGATAATCGTTGTTTTGTAGCTCATAAGTCAAGGTGTGCTAGCTCCAAGTCTTCAAGCATGCGCTCTCATGATGCGCTTGCATAAAGAAGCAATGTTGAACCCACCGTCAGCAAGATTTGAGACTTCCATACCTAAGGTTTATCAAGTGGAGAGCACGGATTCAATCTACGAATTGAACAAACGAGAAGGATGCCTTGATCTAAGGGCGCGGGTGTGCAGCTTGTGTGCGCGGGTGTACACACCTACTTTTGGCCTCATGTCCTAACAGGAAATGTGATGATGTTACAAAAACCCATTCTTTATGCTAGATCAAAGTTGAAGTGTTAATAGACCATGAAATGCATTATGAAGTAAGTAAAAACCTATATTTGAGACCAATATATCTTAGAGCCTTTTTAGATTAATAATTAGGCCTAAAACGTGCTCATATATGATTAAACTTGATCAATAAAGGACCCTAATGCGTCAAATGCAATGATAAGATCCAATGGATCTTACATTGTTAAAACCAAGCCAATATGATAAATCAACCATCAACTTACCAATACAGATGGATAGAATTTCAAAGTTTTTTTTCAACGGTGTATTATAAGCTCAATTTTGAATCAAAACGAAGAAGTTATGATCAAAACACTAAACCAGGCCCTAAAACCGACACCCTTGCACTTCAACGGCAATATCTTTTGATCCATAATAGATTTTACCTTAATTCTAACGGAATTTGAAAGTAGACATTCAAAGATTTCCAATGATATCTCAAATGCCTTAATTCGATTTTGAAATCAAAAGTTATGGAAGTTTTAAAAACTCGTTTTCATATAAGGCAAACCACACCCCCTCAGTGAGTTGCGCGCACCTGGCGCGCACAAGTCATTAGGAGGCGTGCTGCACCAAGCGCGACTTTGAGTGTTGCACATGCCACCTGACGCCGTGGCTCTAAACCCTGAACCTAAATTCCTACGTGTGGGGAATATTTCAAGCATTACCCAAAACTTGAACCCCACTGTGATCATACACTTAAGCATGGTGGCGTCCAAAGGGAAGGAAGCTAGAGCAAAAGAGTCGCCAACAAGTTTTAGGAACTTGTAAACCGTTCACAGGGTGAAGGTTACACCACTTAACGATCTAGGAGATCGTTAACTCCAATAGGTCTAGAACCAAGACTGGAAGTTCGGGGATGAAGGTACAAATCCGACCTAAAAGAGATTGAACCTGCCCTAATAATAGGCCTCTACTTTATTCTTTTCGTATTCATGTGCGCTTTCGGACTAACATGCAATTAATAGGTTTACCCTAAACGTTTTTAATCTATGTTGGTTGAATATTAATGCACAAATAAAACTATTATTGGCGATCACTTGAATTATAATCATATTAACCCTTACAAGATTATTTATTATCTTATTAAACATGATTGCAAGTATCAATTCCCTTTAAACATGCATAAAAGGTGTGATCCCTGTAGTGCGGTGCTGCAGTTAGTTTTTCCACGCGTTTTCATATTTTGATAAAATTTAAGCGTACAAAGGGTAAAACTGTAATTTCCTTAAAACACTTCTTTTATTCTAAATAAAACTCTTAAAACTCAATTATCAATGCTAATCACATTAGGATTCAAAAGAATCTTCTAGAAGATTCTAGAAGACCATAATCAATCCTAATTGCATTAGGAATGATTAATCATAATAGGTCCTCCTCTAGATCAATTGGCCGCATATAAAAATCAAACCGGGCCCAGTTTAGTAATTTGGCCATAACTTCCTCATTATTCATCGGAATTGGGCTTATAATATATCGTTGGAAAGCTCTTCTCGAACCCGACCCAACTACACTATTATTAGACCCTTTCCATGGACTAAACTAAACTAGATTTTCTATTTTCATAAAATAGGTTTTCGAGAACAAAGAGAAAGAAAAGAATTAAAAACTAACCGCAACACCAGACTTTCCACACTTTCACTTCATTCGATTATGATTCGACGTGAAAGGTACACATCACCGGGTTTGGTTTTGGGGAGACACAAATGGGTGTCTACAGAAGCCCCCACTTTGACTGAGTTTGGAGAAACGCAAGTTTCGAAAACAAAAGTCAAAGTAGTGATAGGGACGGAGAATGATTCAAAACGTTCTACAATCCCAAACCATTCTTGTAACGCCAATACCTGCAAACTAGATAAGAGAGTTGAAGAAACACGTATCTTGCACCGTCGAGCACACGTCTCTGGGAGTAACCGATTTGTTGATGCATTTGTCGTTGTGACAACCTTCCACAAGCTAGGGAACGCCATCTTGGTGTTTTGATGTTGATACGTCCACGCGTCTCTGAACAAAGATTTTTTTTTGTTTGACGATCTTCCTCAAGCTAGGGGATACCGCCTAAAGACTGCTACGCCTGTAACTGCTTCCTATTTCTGCTGTGATAGTCTTCTACAAGCTAGAGAACCCTATCAAAGATTGCTTTGCCTGAAACGACCTTCTAGCGCTTTGTGACCATCTTCTGCAAGCCAGGGAACACGATAAAAGATTGCTTCTCCTGAAACTATCCTCATTTGTTGTGATAATACTCTGAAGAGTATCACCGAAGGCCAACGCCTGTCGATCCTTTAAAGTTTGCTTGAACTTTGCTTCTGCTATGCCAGTGCGTCGGTGCTTTTGCAGTTTGTGAACCCGTATGTCGGTGCTTTTGAATTGTGAACCAGTATGTTGGTGCTTCTGTTGTTTATGAACCATTATGTCGGTGCCTTTGCAGTGAGCCAATGTTTAGTCGCTTTAAGCTAAGTGAGACGATCATTTATCAGGTCGATCACTTAATGTGATTGTAACCAAGCCGATTACTAAATCATGTCGAGTTCCTTATAGAGGCTAACTGGCATACCAAGGAACCCAAAATTGTTGTACGAGGTTGAAATAATCATTCTGAGAGGCTTCGAGCTCTGTCGCCGCTGCAGCATCACTGGCGTCGCGATTTTGCCCTGTCGCCAGACGCTGCACTCTGTCGCTCGGCAACAGATCTGTCGTGCGACGCTGCAGTTGGGATTTTCGTATAAATCCCCATTCTTCCTCGTGTTGCTGCTACTGCTTCATTTTTCCGAGTTCGCCGCGAAAAAACTTTGAATTGCTCATTCACGCTCGTTTCTCAACCAAATTTGCTCAAATTTGTTGCAAATAAAAGCTTTATTCATCTAGTTTGCTGATCTGTGTAATTTTTTTCTTAACTCACTCGAATTTTGATGAATTTTGTTCATGTTAATTCACAAATTTCTTGAAAATTCAAAACTTACATTGCTCAATTTGCTTTGTTTATCAAATTCTATGCCATGAAATTGCTTGATTATGTTTATATATTGCCTTTGGAGTATTTATGGTGAAGAAACAAGCGATTCACCATTGTTGAACCTCTTAAGGTCGGGAAAATAATGTGGCTCGTTCTTGATTTTTTGCTAGAAATTCTTGTCCAATTTGTCACAATAATTATCATAATGTTGCAAGAAATTTTTTGGTTTCATGAAAATGTCATACATGCTTGAATTGAAATCGTGCTCTGTTTTAGTACTACGTACTCTATAATTTTGCGAACATAGTATTATGCGGCTAGGCGAACCTTAGATACTATGGAACCTTAACTTTGTCAATTTTGCATAATGTAGTATGGCTAGACAGCGAGGTTTTGGTTCTCGATCCTGAGACACACGACGGGAGCACGAGCCCGTTATGGAGTACACCGATCCATCCACCTCACTTGGTCCCTTCCATGAGTGGGACGAGGGTACACTATTCTTTTCCCCCGAGCACCATATTTCAGAGAGGGTGCGTCGCGGGATCACTAGCGGTAGGACGCACTACCATGGTTCGGGCAACGACACCTTGGTCCACGCAGGCCATGTACTCTTTTAACGCGAGCCACCACGTGGTTCGCGCCTTGGTGGAGTTCTTCTAGGACATCACCAACACTTTCCACTTTCCTTGTGGTGGGATGACTGTCACCCCAGCCGACTTCAGTCTCATCTCGGGACAGGAGTTTAGTTCGACCGCGCTGCCATTCGACAGCTCCATCAGCGTTTCCTCTCCTGAGGTCGACAAGATGTTGGGTCCAATTGCTGTTCGGG